CTGATTGTTTTAAATTTAAATTAGTAAATGAAAAAGATGTTCTAGATGCCATTAAGTCTCTGAAAAGTAAATATTCTGCAGGGTGGGATGAAATACCGGCCCCTGTAATTAAAGCTGCTGCATCTTTTATTGTTAAGCCTCTTACTTTTGTTATAAACAAAAGTCTAGGAAATGGAGACTTCCCGGAAAAACTTAAACACTCTACAGTGATTCCTATTCTTAAAAAAGGAGATAAAAAGTCAATTGATAATTATAGACCAGTGGCCTTGTTACCTGTGCTATCTAAAGTTTTTGAAGAAGTGGTACTGAAACAAGTTGTTCCATTTTTTGAGAAACATGTTTTACATTCAAATCAGTTTGGATTTAGAAGAAATAGTTCAACAACTCAAGCCATGTTTAAATTAATAACAAATGTTTTGGACACCTTGGATAGGTCGCAGAGCACTGCTGGTGTGTTCTGTGACCTGTCCAAGGCTTTTGACAATGTTAGACATGATATTTTGTTAAAAAAGCTGGAATGTTATGGTATGAGTAGGGAGGTTGTCCTGTGGTTCGGCAACTACCTCCAAAATAGGTTGCAAAAAGTAAAGATTAATACCTTGAATGGAAACTCAGTTTTTTCTGATTGGAATAAAGTACACTTGGGAGTTCCTCAAGGTTCAAAGGTTGGGCCATTCTTGTTCTTAGTTTATGTCAACGATTTGTTTTCAAATGTAAATTCAGATTTAATTTTATTTGCAGATGACACAACAGCAATAGTCAAAGGTAAAGACAAAAATGAATTGGCAGTTAATATCTCTTCCTCTGTTCAAAACATCAGTTTCTGGATGAGCAAGAACGGTCTAAGTTTAAATCATGCCAAGACTAAAATATTAGAATTTTCCGCCTCCTCAAACAGGTCCAAAGAATTAATTTTTGCAGTTCCCAACACCAACATTGACAAGCGTCTACAGCCTGACTGATCACTTATTGCAAAGGAAAAAAACTGGCCAGTAGCCACTGAAGAAGAAGAACCAATTTTTGTCTGCTTGATTTTGTGACGTGACGTTGACGACGTATCGTTCTGGCTGTCGGCTATGTTTTGGTTTAGCTGTTTGTTTGTTTCCTTTACATCAATTTATTAATTATTAGTGTAGTAATTCGATTTTGTCTATTTCATTGCAATTATTCATTTTGTTTCCATGTAAAGATTAAAAAGAAGTTATTTTTATTGTGATATTTATTTATGATCGCTGGACATGTAACTTAGATGTTGTGATAAGCTAGGCCTATTTATGTTTTGTCAAAGTTTTGTGTAGTCTTATGTAAAATATTAATTTTGTGGGTAGTGTTATAAATGTTTAATGTATAAATTAAAATCCATTTCTGTGAATAAATAGCATGTTACTAAACTTTATTAAAATGTACTTTTATCCTTTTGTAATTTTGCCCCTTAAAGTTTTTTTCGTGTATGTCTATGCCTATTCAATTTTTACATGTTATTCTTAATGATAATTAAAAAGATGACATTAATTAAGGCATTATATCTATCGTGGTTAACCTTCCGGCCAAGCCTATTAATTCTTGCTCCTTAGCATTATTTTACACTCCATAGCAAAGATCTAAACATTTTAATGGCCGTTGAGTCTTTCCCCATAGGCAATGCTATTTAACTTACATGAATGCAGGCTAAATAAGTTAATGAAAGTGCAATGAATGAAACTGTTGAGAGATTGTAATACAATTTTCGGGTAGACTTCCGAATCTGTTGTCACAAACAACCGAATGAAAATAGGTATCGATTGTTCGATTGTTTCATTCGATATGTCGTTTGGTTAGTTATAGTAACCTTAACTAACTAACCAAACGATATATCGAATAATGGATATATCGATCGATATTTTCGTTGGGTTGTTTGTACAAACAATAAGTATATCGATATAGGCTATTGATTTGTTTCTATCCGATATATTGATTATAACAAATTGAAACATATCAGTTGACAACTACGATAAGGATACAGTAACTAAATAAATATTGTTTGTTTAGTATCAACAAGCAATTAAAAAAATATTATAATGAAATAAAACTGTTTTAAACTAACCTAACAAACCAAAATAATTTCAACATTCCGTTTGATAGCCTATTCCCCATATGCATTTTCTGTTATCAAACGGAATTTTGAAATGGTAACCTAGCCTACAGCAAGTTTGGTTAGTTATGTTAGGTTAGTTTAGAATAGTTTCATTTCCTAATCCAATATAGGCCTTTGGGCCATTATTTCTGCCTAAACAAGGTTAGTTCTTAATTTGTAATTTCAATGCGTTTGAAGATATTAAAACAGAAGGAATACGGATCGTGAAGTAAAACAAAAATATCGATATATCGAAAAAAAATCATGGATAATAATTAATGTCCCCTTTAACATCAAAGTACCCAAACATAATTTGTGGTCTGGTGTAAACCCAGTGTTATACAATTTGCCCTCTCCTGTTAAAAATCTGACCTTTGCCAAGTTAGAGCAGTATTTTTTGGTGGGAGGAAATTTGTCTTTGGAAAAGTTCTTCCTGTATAATACCATTGGATTCAAAATGAAGGATGTAGGCCTACTTGTAAACTGTTTGTTATGACCTAAGTTTAATCACTCTAATAGTGGCCGCTATACACAAAAATTGCAGTTGGAATGAATTTCTAAATTTTTATCTTTGTTTTTGTCACTGTTCTCTGTATACCAGAGGCATCTTGATAATCACAAAAACATTTAAGGTAAAGTGGTCCAAACCCATCAAATGTTGTGGATGTGTCAGTAATCGAACCTGTCATTCTTGCTCTATAGTCGGAGACACTACCTAACCACTAAGTAGGCTAGCAACACACCATCTTATATTCCCTTTCAAAAATAAAAAGGTTGAATTTGAATAGGCCTACTTGAAATGTATTGAAGTATAAACAATAAAATAATAATAAAAATTACAAACCCCAATTCCAGTGAAGTGAATAAAAGAGGCAACGTTTTCCAATCTACTTCAAAAATTTGTAATTTTAAGTTGAAAAATTGTGTTGTATTGATTTTTGTAGATAGGTAAGTTTACCACTTTAATAGGGCATTTTCGTTGCTTTGACGACGGAACATTAGGCCTAAAATTAACTGTCCAAAAAGACAATGATCCAAGAAAATGTGTGTTTTAAAAAGATTGCTTAATACTCTTTGAGATTAATATTTCATTTTCATCACACATATTTTTGCACTGGTTTGCATGTATATATGCCTACTTGTGATGGCTTACAGTCAACTTAAGTTGAGTAAAAACTAAAAGGTATTTCGTTTAAGGTCAAATTTTTTTAAATGTATAAGTTAATCTGTCAGACATGCCTGTAAGTTACCGTTATGTTACAAACTTGACTTAACTGCATCCCAAGTAAACCATTATAAATGGAAGAAATTACAAATTTACGCCAAATTAAATTTACTTAAAAACAGTGATTACAACCCATGCAGTTCATATTTCCTAGCCAAGCCTAGCATAGAGGCAGAGGACAATTCAATATATTAGGACTAATGTTATAGATTTGTCATTGGTTTCATCTAATCAGAATTAAATTTGGTTTGTTGACATAAAATTATACTATCCTGGTAGGTTTAAACTAGGTTAATCCTCTCTCATCCTCATATCCAAGAAAGTATGAAAGTGTCTAGTTAATTTTGAACCTAACTTATTAATTTGGAAATCCAAGTAACAAATGGTGTAGCAATAATTTTAAGAACTAAAAGATCAATGATAACGTCAACATTAAAAAAAGCTTATATTTATTCAAGGTGAAATAATATACAACAGAATGTTGGTTGGTTTTGAGGGTTGAGGTTATGTTATAAGGAGTCTGACTTTGTTTATGTTTGTTTATGCTGCTAAGTAACAGACGACAGACCGCAGTCATCAACAAGATGGTTCTTCTTCTTCAGTGGCTACTGGCCAGTTTTTTTCGTTTGCAATAAGTGATCAGTCAGGCTGTAGACGCTTGTCCAACATTGACCTTCCTGTCTGTAAATCAGTAGATTTTCTGGGACTGACAGTTCAAGATAATTTAAAATGGAATAACCACTGTGACCATTTATATGCTAAACTAGATAAAGCTATATTTAATCTCCGAATTATTAGAAGAATTTGCGATGACAAGACAGTGATGTTAGTATACCATGGTTATTTTTTATCAATTATGTCTTACAGTTTGTTGTGTTGGGCAAATTCACCTTCTAGCAAATATATCTTTAAACAACAAAAAAAGGCCATCAGAGTCATTGCTGGCATTAGCTCAAGAAAATCATGTAGATCCAGTTTTAAAAAATTCAAACTTTTGACCCTTCCTGCTCTTTATATTTTACACTTGGCACTTTTCATTAAAAACAACCTTTATTTATTTGAAAACTGTAAAAAAACTCATAGTTATGAAACTAGACACAAACAACTTTTGGAAATTCCAAGCCACAGATTAGCTTTGTTTCACAATGGACCCTATTATCAATGCATACAAGTCTACAACAAATTGTCCTTTTATTTCACAGACCAGTCTTTGAGCCTTAATAATTTTAAAAAGAAACTTTCAGAAAAACTGATTGCACTTTGTCCTTATGACATAAATTCATTTTTATCCTGTCAACTGTAATCTTAATATTTGTATATATTTATTATGTGTATTTATAATGCATGATTTGTACTGACATGTCACATATTCATTGCTGATATTCAGCCTCTGTATTATGAATTTTTGTGATGAATAAATTGATTTGATTTTGATTTGATTTGATATATATTTTATTCACCCCGTACGTAGAACGGATACAAAGCTAGTTCCTAATATTATTAATTTTAGTAGTAGTTCAATTACATTATTAATTATATTACTACTATTATAAGACTAATCGATAACCAGTTTGCTTGGTTGCGCCTGGAGACCTTAATTTACATATAACCCTTGTAATATATATTTAAAGTACAACAATTTTTATTGATTCATAAACTTACTCTGACAGTGGTAAATGATGTATCGACACTGGTCAGATCATCTTTAATTTCTTCATTGCTGACCTTTTGCTGACACGTCTCTATTTCAATCTCCTAAAAGAAAAATCAATGGAATACATACCTCAAACAACAAATAAATATTTAACAAATGGGCATCAATAATATTAAATGAGAATCGAGGAGCACATAATACCTGTTTTTAATTATGATCATATCATGTAATTTTTGCTAAACTTAAATGCTAATAATAAAATGTATAATCATTTTTAGATTTTAAGAATATAAATAATAATTTTGAACAGTGTGATCCCCTCACAATGAGTGTATATACAAGTCATATAGTGTATATACAAGTGTACATACGAGAGTGTATGTACAAGTCTTTAAGTAATGACTAGACTTCTTATCCTACTACAATAACATTAAAACAAATATACTTATCCTACTAAAAAAGGCATTTTGCATTATGCAAATGAAAGTCCTTCAGGTAACTCATCAACCCTCCAAAAAGAACAACCATTACATCCAATGGACTACAGAAACATCTAAATAAGGAGATGGCAAGTCACTATTTTATTTTGAGTTGGTTTTTATTCTAGAGCTAAAATTATCTGGGTAGAGCTGAGTTATATGTTGAACACTGGTTGGAGTATGTTTCTGGATAGGTCTGGCGCGACTAGGATGAGCTAAGTGCCGAGACAGTTAGCCTACGCCAAACTGCAAAAGGTGCTGTAGCTGGACCGAAACAAACGGTGAGCGGCAGGCTCGATGTCGACTCAAAATTCAGACTGACTATTCTCCAAAGGGTTTGTATTCATTGGTTTTTGTTAACTCAGACTGTAAACACTTATTTAGGATACCTAGGATACAAAATCAATGATAGATTTTAAAGATAATCAAATAACATGTTGAATCCATTGAATGGTTTGTACTGTAAACAAAAAGCTATCACAATAGTTCCAAACCTGTCAATAGGGTAATTTTCTAACATATTTTAGTGAAATTATAATGAGGCAAATGGAAATTAGCTTAGTCTGCAGGTTTGCTGCGGCAGGGATATTTTATTACTGTTTACACAAAAATATATCTAAACAATAATTCTCATAAGTGTAAAAAAAATCATTGATTGTTACAAATATTCTATATTTATAAAAGAGGAAGTTTGTGTATATATATATATATATATATTTGAACGTTATGGACTCCGAAACCGCTCGACAGATTGTAATGAAACTTTTAGGCATTATTAAGCATATTCAAGGTTGGTTTGAGTGCAGATCCGTCAAAAGGGCTCCACCCCAGTGGCTCTGGAGTTTCCGGATGGGTACACGGGAGGGACTATGGCTAAAGGTGACGTCATATCTCTAGTGACTAATGTCTTCTTTTGAGGCAACAAGATTACCGTAACGAGACGATGTGTTTCCAGGTGCGTTCGTGGCATAGTTGATAGCGCGCCGGACTGGTGTTCAGGAGGTCTCCGGTTCGAATCCAGCCAGGGACATTATTATGTGTTTTATTACGTTTATCATTGTTTTAGTGTTTATGTGGCACATACTGTACTTTCTCACATTAGCTTGCCAAAAAACTTTCATGGATAAGCGTCAGGACTGTAGCGTATAAAACTGTCACTCCCGTCTAATTTCATCGTCTAACTTTATGGTCAAAGATTTTGCTTAGAATGCAAATACTTCTTAACTGTACATCTCTTGTTAGAATTTGATGCATTTATAATTTTATTTATAAACAGCACTTTTTTTAATAGTAAACCTTTATTCGATTTTATCTTATATTTTTTTTATATTATCAGCAAGTTTGGTTGGTTAGGTTAGGTTATGACAGTTTAATTTTATACAGTAGAGTCTCGCAAACTCGGCGTAATGTGGACTGGAAGGGTGCCGAGTTTGCGAAATGCCGGGTTATCAGGAACTTGTGTTAAAAATAAGAGCTATACAGTTTTTAAGGTTTTTTACCGCCTTTTTTATTTATATTTATATTACAAGTCAGTATTAAGTCATCAGATATAGTACGACAAATCCTTAGTACCAATTGTGAATAATTTGACTTAAGCTGGCTTGAGTCCATGATTAACTCTACTAACTCTACTACTAGTGACTAAAAAAATCACTAATTTTCTGACTAAGAGCCAGGTGATGGCCGAGTTATCCAGACTGCCGGGTTATCGAGTGCCGAGTTTGCAGGACTCTACTGTAATACTAAATTTTAAAATTAATTTTATAATTAAAAATTATAAGTTAACATTCATTTGATTTTTATCTTATATATTTTTTATATTATCAGTAAGTTTGGTTGGTTAGATCATTAAATCAGCCAGATCAGCCTGATCATTAGATCAGTTTGGTTGGTTATGACAGTTAAATTTTATAATTAAAAATTGTAAAAATTTATTTCATAAAAAAAAAAATTATTTTATAATTGAAAAGTTAATTTTATAACTCAATATTTAGAAAAATAATTTAAATTTTTTCAATGTTAGCCGTAGTCCCTCCTGTGTGCCCCAACGTTGGAGTTTCCCGTGTTATGGAATTACAGAATCTTAACAGCTGTTTCAACTAAACAATTTGATTCTGTGATAATCATTGCATTGAAGATGGTGGATCAAACAGAAGATTAGACATTTTAATATATGACACAAAATCTAAAAGTGGAATTATAATTGATCCAACCATACGGTTTGAAATATAAAAAAACCAACCCTTAGAAGTAGATGAAGAAAAGAGAAAAATGTATATTAAAAAAAAATGAATGAAAAGTGAAAATTATTTAAGAAACAAATCTATAGTATTAAAACGAAACAGTGTTTTTTTATTTCACGATTCTGAATCAACCACTCGACGGATTTTCATGATTTTTGTGTTGAAAGAAAGATAATTTTGAGAACTAGGGAATGTCAAAGCCATAATTTTAGTTTAGGGTCCCAGTTTTTTAGAAATTAAGTTTTAATTTTTAAAAAGTCCAGCAGCCGACGTTAAGATTCTAAACTAGCTTTTGGCATAAATTAATTTGCTTAACATAACAGCTGTAAACATTCAGCTTTTGTGTCGCAAATTCAGCATTTGGATAAAAATGTAAAGACATACTTAGGGTTGACTTATTTATACTATGTGTAATGCTAATCATTGATACTAGTCCAGTGCAATTAACTCCAAAATGGCAAAATTTGGGAAATTAAAAAAAAAAAAAGTTGAAACCTGTTGGAAATCATTTATTAAGGTCTCCTGAACCCACAGAAGAAAGTCCCAGAAAATCCCATGGGGACTTTTCCGCCATTTTGAAAAATAAGTCGGCCATGTTGGATTTATGCAAGCGTTTACGGAAATGGGTGTTACTAGTAAACTAATTGACTTAAAAACCTCCTGTTTGCATAAAAATATATTGTAAACTCCAAGCTATATATTAAATATAAAAATACCCCCGCCGCAGCGAACCTGCAGACTAAGCGAATTTCCATTTGCCTGAATTTATTTTAAATTAAATCTATTTAAATAACATTAGGTTTAACGAGTACCTAAGTTTGCTGTTACAGGTAGCCTAATAAAATGTGTTTTTAGTAAAATATTAGTAGATTAATATAAAATAGATCAATTTTCCATGTTTAATCAATATATTTCCATAAACAAGCAAACTACAACATTCTACAATATTCTCCATAAGAATAACATAGGAAATTTTAAATTTGCAGTTTTTTTTAATTTTCTCCATAACCATTAACCGTACAAAAAAACTTTAATATACTAAATTATTTGTTTTTTAATCTCTTTAAAAAGTTCTAGAGAGAAATTGGGACATTTTGAGTTTTGAGGGTCAAAAATGAGGATGATTTAGTAATACCAACATTTCAAAAAGAGTTCCCTGCTAACCCCACCAACAAATCAAGATTTATTGCACTATTAACTGTACACCTCACAAACATGGGATGCCAGGTTTCACAAGCTACATCTAACGCAGACACTCTCATTGTTTCAACAGCTCTGCATATTTCCCCAACAAAGACTTTGGTACTAGTGGGACAAGAAAGAGACCTTCTTGTATCGTTGAATACTCTCACTCGATGCAACGTATTCATGCTCATTCCTGCCAAAGGAAACAAACCTCACCGCATTTTTAATATTAGGAATCTGCAAGAAGGTTAGGTGAGTTACAATATTTTCTTTTCCTGCTACACGCATTCACGCAGGTTGCGATACAACCTATGCCATATTCAGCAAAGGAAAAACCGCGTAGGAGAAACTCCAAAACGATGCAGGACTTCAGGAATCCGTCAGTATAGCCAAAATATATGGTGTTAGTAGAGAAGTAACTAACCTTAACATTGCAAGGCACCGCATGTACATAAGAACGATAGCAAAGCAGGGACTTAGTGCAAATTTCAACCTCGCCTCTATTCCCCCAACCAAAGCAGCAGCCCCCCAATACACCCTGAGGGCTTATCATCAAATTCAGCAGTGGAAAGGTGTTAATCTCCTAGCTACGGACTGGGGCTGGAAGCTTAGTGCTAGTCAGGGTCTAATACCTGTAACACCTCTTCAACGACCTGCTCATCAAAATCTACTAAATCTTATATTCTGCAACTGCAAAGGCAATTGCGAGAAGTATTGTTTGTGCCGAAGAAGCTATATTATTCTCATATGTGCAAAAACTGTGCAGGATTTGGGTGCGGTAATACACTATCAGTTACTGAAGATAAACTTGACGACCTGTTAATCTTAATATTAACTAGTGAATGCTCCTGTCTACTATATCCACAACGTTCAAACAAAACTTTGAAGCTTTAAGGGAAATGTGACAAAAATATGTGACGGCCGGGTCAAGCGTCTGAGCGAAAATGTATCGAATGCTTCTATTGGTTCTTGAGTAGGATGGTGAAAATTTTTAGGTAAACCCTTTTAGTGTATTTGAAAGAACATTTTATTCTCTACAATTTTTATTAAAAGTTTTCCTTATAACAGTAAACCAAAAGGTTACTTGGTGAAAAATGCTAATTATTAGTTACAGTATGTCAAAATAAATAAGTTTTAAATTAGTAAATAAAAGTATAAAAAAATAAAGTAACACATTTTTAGTGAATTTCCCTA